CGGAGGCCGAAGCGGTGGATTTTGAGCCAGAGGAAGATGATTTGATGGACGAAGACGGTGCCGTTGACGCTGACGCCTCCTCCTCACCTCGTGCTCCACTCCCCAAGTTAAAGTCAGCTATTACTGGAGGCAGCGCGTCTTCTTCACTCTCCGCTCCTAAAAAGACTAAAGGCCGTGGCTTTAGAGAAGAGGTTGATGCTGAGAGACAGAGCCGCCTCTCCGGTCGTGGATTTGATTCCCTCGGTTCTGATGGTGGGCCTGGCCCCCAGCGATGTCAGTGAAGTTTAAACCCTAGATACTTTTTGCTTGTTTAAATTCTAGGGTTTCAGAATTATTCGCATTTTTTTTTGAGAAAGTAGGGTTTTGAATGGTTCTAGTGAATTTTGAGGTGGTTAATTGTAAATTGATGTGGTTGATCCTGTTTGTTTCCTGGTTATTATTTAAATGCCAGGTTGATTATTCTGTTTTTGTTTGTATATGTGATGCAAGTAAACATATAGGACAAATTGTGAAACCCCACTCTCAATTTTGTTTGAAATAACAAAAATATGACATTGAGAGTAATTAACCCTATGGATCGCCTGATGGAAGGATGCCTTGGAGTTATCCACTTGCATCTACTAATAACCTAGCTCTAAAATAGGTTGAAAACAGTCCACAGTGTGCTAAGAATGTTGTTCCTTCTTGGGGATTCTCCTAAACTAATCTTATTATTTTTTTTAATTTTATTGTTGGAGTATTAATTTACCAGATCCGTCTCCACTACTATTTAAAGAATTGTACCCTTTTATTCCTAATCATTTCATAGAGCAGTTTGTGAATAATTCTGATGCTTTGAAATTTCTGATTGTGTGATCAGATAATATTTTGTTGTTGCTAGCTGATATCTCATGTCATTTGTTTAAAAAAGTAGCTTTCCTTTTGTTCTGGAACCTGAGATTCTGGAACCTGAGATGGATGATAATTGTTCCATCTATTTACAGCTGTTGAAGGATGGATAATTTTGGTGAGTGGAGTGCATGAGGAAGCACAAGATGATCATCTGCAAGAAGCTTTCGGTGAATTTGGGGAAATAAAAAATTTGCATTTGAATCTTGATCGCCGCACTGGTTTTGTTAAGGTAAGAAAATTTTTTCCTCTTCTTTTGAATCTTATTTCCAGTTGGTTTGTTCTTTTGTTATGTTGGGTGTTCATATTAGTGAAAACCACTGTTAAATTGAGTTCAAAACAAAGATCAATTTTACTACAAGGTCCTATGCCTTGCTGATTTTTGGTTTGGAGCATTTGTTCTAAACCATTTCACATTTCAATTGGAACCCAAACCAGAACAAATCTGATCGATTCAAGATTAGCACAGAGCAATCTCACTGGACCAGTTGCTCTTTGCACAAAAAGCGTGTATGGTGCTGGGCTTTTTGGTGAGGAACTGAGACAGTGGTGGTTTTGATGATTTTTTACTACCTGTTGCTATTTTCTTTCATGGATCATCATGTGAGTGGACTTTATTAAATATAATTGCTCATAGAGTAGAGAAGTTGAGTGCTGCTGTTTAGGATTCTGGGTTGCATTGGTTGCTCTGCTGTTGTGTTGGATATGATAGCTGAGCATGTGTCCACATATTGGTTGTGTAATTTTGTTGTGAAGGAAATTGTTAACTTATTAATTCCAAGTTTTTAAATGCTGCTGATGTTTAATGAAATAATGTGAAGGTCAACGTTTAGCCAGAACTAGTTTCTGTGCTAAGGAAATTCCGCTTCATTGTGGTAGTCAATTTCAATACTTGTAAAATACACGCATTCCACCCAGAATAAAGGATCATAACATTCAACATATATGGAGTGACATGTACTTATGTTTGGTAAATAGCATGTTATTGGTTCAATTGGATTCAATGTGGTCAAATTCAGTGCTATATTATTTTTCTGTCTTCCTTCCTCACAAATTTTCTTTTCTTGATTAATGAGATGATTTCATGCTGTTGTTTTGGTCATGAAAATTAACAATAACATTGGCCTGTTGTCTTTGTAGAAAAATTCTGAAACAAATATTCTTTCATTAAATTGACAATTTTTTTTTTTTTTGCAAGGGCTATGCGCTGATAGAATATGAGAATTTTGAGCAAGCAGAGAATGCAATATCTTCAATGAATGGGGGAACATTGCTCGAACAGATTATCTATGTTGATTGGGCCTTCAGCAATGGCCCCAGCAATTGGGCCTCCAGAAGAAAGAACACGAGGTCTGTCTCTGTGCCTTACTTTTGTAAGCTGAAAATTATTGGAGATGATATATTATTAGAGAGAGAAGGTGTCAGTGAAATTAAATGTGTCTCTCCTGAAATGATCAATGTTTCTCTGAATTTCAAAAAAATTACAATATCTGGGATCTTTGAACTCTGAAAATTGCATGTTGAAGTTTTAAATTATGTCTCAACCTGCCTGTAGTCTGTAAAGGAAAAAACAATGGCTGGTAATGATAGATTTCTAGGAGTTGTATGACCAGACTGTACCCAAACCTGGTCAAATTCAAGGTGCCATTATATTTAGTGAAAGAAAGCAAAACATAGTGCTCTTCAGTTGGAGCGAGCTTTTATTGAGTGATCTTAGATAACATGGTGAAATTCACACTGCTTCTAATGACATTGTGTCAAGCTCAGATTGGGCAAATTGAAAATGGAAGAGTTGGCTTTGATGTGGATTGTCTTATGAAATAGTCCAGGCATTTTTAAGAGGCTATAAGCTTCAGCAGCTTGTATCTTCCTGTTGTTATTTCTTAGGACTCTTTTGATCATTTTAATTGAGAATTGGGGTTACAGTGAGTACTGGACATGATTTGAGCACAGCTTCACAAGTACCTGCCTATGCATAATTTTGTGGCATGTCTATTTGGAAAGGAACTGGCCATTACTAATACATGACTCCCAGACCAACTAAAAATATATGATAGTATCTTCCCGAGGCTAGATCATGATGCTGTCCTCTGTGACTGTAAATGGGTCGCTTCAAATATTGAGTTAGATCTGGTCTGGCTTATTTGATATTTCTCTAGTTGTGTCAGCTGGGAATATAACTTGTTGCCCTTTAAATTTTTGCAGACCTGAACGAACGAATCGCTCAAGGAGTCCTAGGAGGAGATATTAATGGATTGTGATTTCCATTATGAATGTGTACGAGTTTTCATTGAGGTGTTTGATACGTAATTATGATTGAAGATCATGGTTGGTTCTTGTCTTCAATGGGTTTACGAATTGGTCACAGGTTTTTTCTGTTTTGTTGAATGGTGCTTGGGCTCTGATTAACGCTAACCTTAAAGTTTTGTAATCTGTGTATTTGGCGCTGATTTTGTACTAATCTTTAAGTTTAGTAATCTGGTTTATTTGGTCACTTGAGACGTGTATTTTTTTTTTCCAGTACCGAGAGATTTCGGGACGAGCAAAAAGTTCAGTGTAAAACTTTTCCCATGTGAGGCAATTTTAGCATCTTTATTCGGCTTTTAAATTCATAGATTTTTAGCAAGGCATCTTGCCCGAATTTGAACACTGATTGGGTTCCAGATAGCAAATGGTGTTTAGATCTTGGCAAGGAAGGCCAGCATCCCTCTTCTTTTTGGGAGTCACAGAAGCAAAATGTTCCCGCTCTCCAGGAGAGGAATGCGAACATTTTTACGAGCTAAATCATGAGCATTTTTCATTTTTTGTACATGTAGGCCGTGTAGTAATCATTTTCAAAACTTTTTTGTTTTTGTTTACTATTAATAAAATTATCATTGGAAAATACTTTATAGTCAGAGTTTTTAGGAAAGTAGCCTTTTATTTTATTTTATTTTAAATGAAAAGTATTTTACTAAAATTATGGAAACCTCAGAAATATTTATTATATTAAATTTAATCTTTTTTTTTTATATATTTTTTTGATTTTTTTTAATTTCCTTAGAATTTAATTTGTATATCAACTTTGATTTTTATTTTTTATTGATATTTGCTTTTCTTAATTATTTTTCAATTAAAATTTTTTATTTACCATATTTTTGATCTGTAATTAATATTTCTTTGTATCTGAGATTGCAATTTTATTTTAAAATTTTCAATTTTTTAAAATTTTTTATCTTTTAAATTTAATTTTTATCTTTTTAATTGTTATTTATTATATTTTAAATAGTTGAAGAAATTAGATTTTTTCTTCTTCTTTTAAGTTTTCATTTATAAGATTTCATTCTTATTTTTTAATAAATTTGAAAAAAATATATTAATAAATTATTTTTCAGTTTATTTTTTATAATATAATTAAATATTTTTTAAAAATTCTATTTTATTTTTCATAATATTATTTAAACATTAAAAAATAATTTAATTTACAAAGAAACATCTTTTCAAAAAGCAAAACTTTTATGCAGCAAATGAATTGGCTGTAGTGATTATCACTAGCAACTTCCGAACAACATTTAGATACAAGTTTGCTCTAAGAGAAGGCATTCACGTTGCTAAAACCACGTAACATTCAGAAAATCAATGCACTTATGAAGGTCCTGACAATGTCGTCGTCATATGCTCAGCTAGCAAAATATTTCCCTTTCAAAACTGAGCTAAAAATGAATAATCAACTACTGTGTGTGGTATCATCCACTTCATGATGAATGGTGGTGGAGGTACGTACGTCGACCAAGAGGATTTCAGCAAATAAATTGGCTGTAGTGATTATCACTAGCAAACTTCCGAACATTTAGGTACAAGTTTGCTCTAAGAGAAGGCATTCGCGTTGCTAAAACCACGTAACATCCAGAAAATCAATGCACTTATGAAGGGGTCCTGACAATGTCGTCGTCATGTGCTCAGCTAGCAAAATATTTCCCTTTCAAAACTGGGCTAAAAATGAATAATCAACTACTGTGTGTGGTGTCATCCACTTCATGATGAATGGTGGTGGAGGTACGTACGTCTACCAAGAGGAAGGAAGAAAGCCTCTAATGTAGCTTGCTCGTTTGCTTGTCAGAGGATCATCATCATCACGAAATCACCAGATCCATTAGATACAATGTCAATGATGATAATCATAATATCTATTCAGCTTTTTCACAGCCTTGCTTCCTTCACCATTGAATTCCTTCGCTGTACAATCAATCGTGTTAGAAATTCTGCTCCTGATGATTCAAATCTAATTCCAGCTTGCTCTCCCACAGCAAGCGAAAAAAGGTATGGTAACTTTCGCTATTCTTCTTTGTTAAATGTACAAAATTCGTGTATTTGTAGCAGCTCTGTGCCTGTATATTTCTGACATGTTCTTCTCTACGTTGTATGTTTTCTTCATGAAGCCACAGCGGTCCAATAATTAGCCATGCACGAGGTTGTTGGAGTGGCAATGGTGCGTGACCATACCCAATGAGTGCCCTCCACTCTTCGCATCTCTGCCAACTGTCATAATTATTAATGTGAGCAACATTCTTACTTAACATGTTTATGTTACCTTGGAAGAGTATTTCAGATTAGAAGCTTGCAACAAGTAGAATTTAAGGGCATGAATTGTAGATAGAAAATATTGCTCAAATTTATGTCTCCTGAAAAACATTTCTAATGAATTTGCTGTCAAGAATGCTGGGAATTGTTGAAAATCAGAAACGGCAAATGAACAAGTGTTCCTTACTCTTCCATCCCCAAGCTCGAAGATAACTGAATCATCAGAAAATGGGATCGGCCTTGTTGGTGCCACCTGTGAATGTTCAAAACACTCATCATTGATTTCCCATCACTAATGCTGGCCAGCAGCCAGTTAGAAGACGAGTTTTAACAATGGAAAAGATACTTGTACCAACCTTTGGGTCACAGTTTCTATTAAAATCACTGTACTTCCGTGCAACGTTCTCCAAGCTGGCTGCAAAATCTTCATCGATGCAAACTTCTTCATTATTATCATTTCCCCTCTCTTGTGTTTGATCTTCATTCATTAATTGTCCCACATGAGGGAAGCCACAGTTTTTCCATCTCCATGTCATTTTGTCCATATACCTAACGTATACTTTTCCATCTGAACCTATAAGAAAAAGTTGATTACCTTCAAAACATGGGCTAGGGGAAGTGATCAAGGTTACACCTTTATTAGGTGTTCCATGTTCAATCCAATTCCAGCCATCACCAGTATTCCAATGGTATTCAACTAGTCCACCATCTTCTGAAAGCATAAATAGTGAGCCTGTGAGTGATGGTGAGGATGGTCTCATAGCAGTTCCTGGCGATCTTGATAGAACCAAATGTTGTGACTGATAATGCTCATGCCACAATTCAGTCACTTTGTTATACTGGTATAGCCTCCCATTCCTTCCAGTGACAAACACTATGTTATCCCGGAACAGCTCCTGGTCAACAATACTTGCAACTTTGGTATCTGGAGGGTTTCGACAATCTTTCCATTTGAATTTCCTCAGGGCAACCTACATAGAAATTTGATTAACGGATCAGCAATGAGCTGCTTTATAGTTCTGGGAAAATCACAGAAATACTCTCTGCTTTGGCTTTCTAGCCTAAAGTCGATGTTTAAAGTAATATTCCAGAATTTTTGTTTCAATTGATTGATAATGTTTCTTGGTTGCCTGGTGACATGAAATACTACTTGTATGTATGGATGGTGATGGTGACAATGACAAAGTGAAAAATTAAGTGAACCATAAGAAGGAAAAGAAATTCTCTGATGCTTTTAATCTTTTGGATGTGTATGGGAGTCGTAGACCAATAGAAATACTTTGGTTTATTCTACTTACTGTGAACTGCAGCAGCCTTCCATTTTTGCTCACAAAGAAGATTGCATCTTCTGGTGTAACTTTCGGAGCTTTACCTGGAATTCCATCCCATGGAGGGCCTCCAATAACACGCCCGAGATTCCTCATGGCAGTGCAATTTACCCATGTTAGCCCCTCATCGCTCCTTTCTCTCATAAGCAGACTCCCGTAGATGTCTACCAAAAAGAGACTTCCATTGTAGTTTCCAAGGGCACCTTTCATTGGTGTTGAGTGATCATGCCTTAGCCACAGCCATAAATTTTCAGCATAAAGATGTTCATAAGTCAAACCATCATCAGTAACAAGGAAAAATGATTTGCCTCCATGTATCATTCGCAGACGAAAGTTAGTGTTGATCCAGTTATCTGGGAAACTATATTCTTCTGGATCTCTATTCGGTCCATTGGCACCTGCAAATAGGTAATCTTGTTGTGCTTTACTTCCCTTTCGCCTTCTTGCCATTGATCTTGTGATTCCTTGTTCATTTGGCTCGTCTTTTATGCCTTCAAGGCAGTTCATGG